AATCATCAAATGTCTCTAAATCACATAGTATGCTTGAAATCAAGAACAATTTAACTTATTAAACCTACAAACATAAAAGCATGCAAAACAGATAAAATCACAAATTATCAATTTGATCTCTTTTTTTTTTGTCTAACAATACCCCTTAAGATGTTGAAAGAAATACTAAATTCTTTACCGAAATCTTGATAATTTCTTCTACACTGTTCTTCTTTTCTTCCTCTCCTTCTCTCTATGTCACTCTCTCTCTCTCTCTCTCTCTCTTTCTATAATTCTTGAATAGTGGAAGAATGGAAGTGTGGATAAAATGGGAAGGAAGGGCCCCAATTTATAGAAATTGGGAGCCGTTGGATTTGAGCCACGTGGTAAAATCCGGTGAAAAGAGAGAAAAGATGCTTGGCACAAAAAATGAAGGAGAAATATCTCATCCTCTGATGGCGGCGGTGTGCCACCCAAATTGGCAGTGGCCCACCTAGCGTGCTGCAGGCTAGCTTGCAAGCGCACGGTCCTTCATGCCATGCGCGTAGGGGCTAGCCTGCGCGCATGCAGGGCTAAGCGCACTTAGTGCCATGCGCACAGGCCTTAGGTGTACATGGGCCTATCCGCGTAGGCCTGCTTCGTTGATGGCGCACGCACAGTGTGTGGCGCCTGTCTACGCAGGCCTGCTGTGTGGACGGCATGCACACAATGTGGGGCGCCTGTACTCGCACGAGGTGACGCGCGGACGGTCTGCCTGCGCACGACAGACGCGCGCTAGGTTGACCCGTGCTGCGCGTGTGGATAGGACGTACGCGTTGTGCACACATCCCGCGCTTGCTATGTGCACGCACAATGAGTAGGTGCCCGCATGGGCAGCTCCTCTTCCCTCCGGGATTTTCCTACCGAATTTCTCCTGTTTTCTGTTTTTTTTAAATTCATTTTTAATTAAAATAAAATAAAATAAAATAAACTAAATTCAACTAAAATAAAAGTAAATAGAATCAATTAAAATTAAATAAAATCAAAATAAATAAAAATCAGAATAATTCACGAATTACGATAATGATTTACGAGTAAATTTAATGAGTCCAATGCGGCTTAGAATAAATAGGATTTTTTTAATTAATTAAGCACAATGATGGGCGGGATGTTACAATCATTCAGTACATAGGGATCTCCTCTACATGTGGATACTCAAACATTTCCATAACAAATAGTAATCGTTGGTCATCCTCATATCCCAACCCATATAAGTGCTACGATCATCGGCTGCTCCCACACCCCAACCTATGCGGGCGCCATAAACACCAGTCATCCTCATATCCCAACTCGTATGAGTGTCATAACCAATCGGCAGCCACTGTACTCCAACCTGTATGGGCATCGCTGTTATTTTGTATCCACAGTAGGGTTTGCACTGCATAACCAAAACACAATCATCATATAATCAAAGCACACTTATCCAATCATCACAAAATATTTAAAAACATCCTATGTATTAATTTCAACTGATTCAATTATTCAATTAATTCTTTTAAATCTCTATTTTTTTTTATAACACTGAGTTTATTATTCTTTTACTACATTTACTATTTCGATACTAGTATTTTCACATGCCAATAACCTCGTAAATTAGAAAACTAAGACATCTCAATATTTCCAATCCAAACCCCATAGTCGAACAATTCAACATTCCTTATTCAACATACATACGCACGCACACAACCTTGTTAAACATCACTTGCAATTAAATTTGTTTACATATGCATCAACATCGAAGCCTAACACCGTAAACCAATGGACACACTTACACACGTACACTCAACATACATAAAAATTATTATACATCAATATATACATGTATAAACTCATCCAGTCATCAATATATTATAACAACATAGTCCAAAAAATGAATATCATGAAATAATTCACACAACGGGAAAATATGTGTAACGAAATCACAGGACAAGTCAAACAGCTTCGTCGGCACCTGTTACTATTTCACTTATTTATTATTTTCTTCAAAAAGAATGAACAGATTAGATCTTTGATTTGAACCTCAATAAATAAGTACAAGAATGGGTTCGAAGCCTTACCGGAATTGGAGGCTTGAAGCGCTGTAATTTCCAGTTGTCGATCGCAGTTTAGCCTCCATTCCCTACTTTGTGTTTTTTTTTATTACTGTATAACAAGACTTTTTAAAATTCTAATCGAAAAAATAAAAGGCAAAAATAGGAGGAAAGGCAGCTTACTGGAGTCGTGCTTGGCTCCTAGCCACTGGCGTGCACTGCTTCGTTCTCGAGCTCAAAACTTCTAGCTGAAATCGGGGATGAATGTTAAAAATGATAATGGAGAAAAAAAGGGAAAAATCACTTACCGGGGGTCAGTTTGGGGTTCCAACATGGCAGCACCGACGCGCTCCGCTGTCTGCTACCTCCTCCGACATCTGCCCCTATCGGCTAAGGGTTTTGGAGCCGACAAGGGTGAGGCTCAAATTCTCTCCCTCAAACAGATCCGACTGTCTATCCCTATCTACATGGCAAAAGGAGAGCTGCCCGATCGTGAGCACGTGGATTGTCAACGTGTTGTCCGCGTCGTGTCACCTGCTAGCATGGCATCCACATGGCGCAATCCTAGTGGTCACGTGGTTAAGTCAGCAGTCCTATGTGGTCTATTTTTTAAAATTGTAGAGCGGCCCTAGTCACCTAAAATTCTTTCAATTTAGTCCATTTTTTATTTGAAAAGGATCCTGATTTTGATATTTTATTTCAAAAAGGTCCAAATTAATTATTTCGACTTTTTTTCTCATTTTTGATGAATTTGACATGAATTTAACTCATTCACACACTTTTAAATTACCAAATAAACAAATAAAGTTCATCCTTTATTACACAATGAATTTGAATAGTTTTTAGGTCCATATATTATATTTAACCAATGAGTATATTGCGTGATTTTATAGAAAATAATACCTTCAAGACTTTCAAAACAAGAAAATGATCAATAACTATAAATTATATAACTCTAAGCATTTAATACAACTCTTCACTCTTGTTTATTCATTCTTTCATAATCAATAAGCGAAGTTCCAAATTATGTCAATTCTTCAAGCATTTGTTGGCATCCATGATCAAATGATTATACCTCATATTTTAGTCACAATATCTCATAGTCGTTACTTGCAAATCTTCCAATATTATTTTTGACATATAATTGAATTTCTAAAATTTGCAATAATTTTTTTCCTTAAATATAACGCTTAATGCTAATATTTGATCTTAGCACCAACTAATATTCTCATTGAAACCCTTTAATAACTTCATTCATCTTCTGTCTCCTATATTCAACTTCCAAATATAACTTTGTCCATGAATATGTCACATGATTATTTAGTAAACAATGTCTCCAAGATTTTCAAAATAAGAAAATGATCCGTAACTTTAAATTATAAATCTCCAAGCATTTAGTACTAGTATCACAATTTTTTCTCTAAATATTTTTTTTCCTAAATCATATTGTTTAATATATATTATCCAAACACATACCAATTTTTTTCAAATAAGAAGTCTACATTCATATTTTCATTCACTGTTGCTTACTCATTTCTTTGCAATCAATAGTCTCAAATTAAATAATTATACTCAAAATCTAAAGCAAAGTACAAGAACGACCATCACTTGCCCAACATTCCTTTTGACATATAATTAATATTATAGAATTTGTTAGAATTTTTTTTTTTTTTCTTTAAAGATCAACTCCTAAGTTCGCCTTTCATAAATATGAACTAATATTCTAATGAAAATCTTTTAATAAATTTAATTATCTTGTATCTCCTGTATTCTACTCTAAAACATATTTTAAGCTCTTTAATTATAAGTATGTCCCTTGATTCTTTAGCAAATAATATCCCGAATATTTAAGGAAAAAAAAAGCTTGATAACTCCAAATAAGAGATTTCTAAATAAATTCATTGAATAAAATAATTCTCTAATCCACATCCAAATTAAAAATAACATGTTATAAATATTTACAATAGAATTCCATGGTCACTTACATCTAAATAGGTTAATGACTTATTTTATGTAATTAGGAGGCTATTAATTTTATGAATAACTAATAAAATTTTTGCTCCCTTATCAAATATTGGAATTTTTATTACATTATATAGTAAAGAAATAATTGGATATAATTTTGCGGTAGGCCAGGTGCAAGAAAAAATTAATCTGTAAGATTCTTTTAATATTTTGTTTATTTTTACCTACATCATTAGTTTTGGTGATATGTATATAAACACTTATTATACATAATTAAGTCAATTGATGACAATAAACATTTTTCCAACATGGTTATAGGTATATAAACTGTATTATCATTGAATATAATTTTGCAGTAGGTCTGATGCAAGAAAAGATTAAGTTGTAACATTCTATTAATATTCTGTTGATTACTTTTACATACATCGTTAGCTTTGGTGATGTGTATATAAACACTTATTACACATTATTAAGTCAATTAATGACAGTAAGCACTTTTCACACGTGGTAATATAAACTCTGCTGTATAATATTTTTATTAAATTATTAATGTAAACTATAATTTTATTAATAAAATTATTATTGAAATCATATAAATGTTTATTTAAATTATGTTTTATTTTATATTTTTAAGTTCAGAAATAATTTAAAAAATAGAGATGACATTTTCAAAATTATTTCGGAAAAAAAAACAGATATGAAATTTGTTATTTTTTCAAATATGTGACATACGTTTTAAGATTTATATAACTCAAGATAGTTTTATTTAGTAGAAACCATTAAATTCTAGTAAACTATATTAACTACAGATATTACTAACCATAAAAAATTCAGGGGTTCCTGTTTGATTGCAGGAAAGAAACGACAACGTTTCAATACGACAAGCGAACAGCACGAATGGTCCCTGTTTGATTGTAGGAAAAACGACGACGTTCCAATACCATTGGCGAACAGTACGCATCGTACAAAATTCAGGTGCCCCTTTGATTGCAGAAAAATCGGACCTGCTCCTCGCACTTGCTATTGTTAAGAACAGAAAAGTTGGAAAGAGATAAAGGAGAGAGATAACAAGCCGGTAAAAATGGAGAATCATTGCACAAATGGCTTCGACTCATGTCCAGCGCCTACTAAAGTCTCAGTTCTCAATTGTATCGATCTCTCGAGCTCCGATATTCAGCAATCTGTTTCTCTTCTCAAGCAGGTCCTCTTTAGCTTGGATCAAACATTGATCTATACAGATAGGCATGCAGAAGTATACATCTTTTAATTCTGCAGGATTTGATTTATCTTTAGTTGTGAGAGATCATGATGAGAAGAAATTATTGTTGATTATGCGTCTTGTAATTCGATGCACAGCTGATTTCTGAATTCTTTCTATAATTGGATTAGGCATGTTTGGACTGTGGATTCTTCTACGTTGTGAACCATGGAATAAGCGAGGAGTTCATGGGCGAGGTGTTTGCCCAAAGCAAGAGGCTTTTCAATTTGCCGTTGGACGAGAAAATGAAGCTTTTAAGGAACGAGAAGCACCGAGGCTATACTCCTGTTCTCGATGAGCTTCTTGATCCTGATAATCAAGTTCATGGTCAGTGACTTATTGCGTTTGTGATTGATGCAGTGCTCCTCGTCGTATGGAATCTGTGTTTGCATTTGCTTTGATTTCTTGGTGGTCGTCCCAACTTCTGTAGGAGACTGAAATTGGTCGTTTTTTTTTTTTTACTTGATAGTAGGAGATTACAAGGAAGGGTATTATACTGGTGTCGAGGTGCCTGAAGATGATCTTGAAACAGAGAAGCCATTTTACGGTCCAAATGTCTGGCCTGAAAATGGTAATTAATTTGTATAAGGGCTGCCTGTGGAAATTTGGAAGAGGTTAGATAATTCGTAACGTTAATATTGTGTGATCTCTTTCTTATTGTTTTAGGTGTTTTACCTGGATGGAGGGAGACAATGGAGAAATTTCACCGAGAAGCATTGTAAGTCATATAGCTGTTGCGTGATTTGTTTGGCAGAATTAGATGACTTTGCTATGCTGTTTTTCAGTTCAGAATTAGCTTGGGTTATACATGGGTTCCATTTCCATAACTGGAGTTACTCTGTTGAAAGTGGAAGTAAGGTGTCTGTTTTTCTAGAAGATATTCTGTGTTATAAATACTGTAAGTTCTAATCAAAATGGCATGGATTCATGTGCTGAATACATGAGGCTATTTCATGCTTACTTTTCTTTTGAAGGTCCTTCTAATGTTCTTTTTGTGTATTCAGAGAAGTTGCAAGAGCAGTTGCAAGGATCATAGCACTTGCACTTGATTTGGAGGTTGATTTCTTTGATAAGCCTGAAATGCTTGGCAAGCCTATTGCAGTCTTGCGCTTACTACATTATGAAGGTGGAGTTTTGATAGGTGGTTGTAGAACAAAACTACCAGACGGTTGGATCACGTGGCAATAGGTATAACTTGTATTTTGGTGCTCAAATTCTGCAGGTAAAATTTCTGATCCCAATAAGGGAATATATGGATGCGGGGCACATTCAGATTATGGACTGATCACTCTCTTGGCAACAGATGATATCACAGGTCTCCAGGTGAACATTCTTTTTTCGATATTGCCATGTAGCACCGTGGAATTTGAGCAAGACTGAAATATTATGTATGCATATTTAAAAAAAAAAATTATGCACGCAGATATGCAAGGATAAGGATGCGAAGCCTCAGAAGTGGGAATACATAGCACCACTGAAGGGGTAAATCTCTAAGGTGTATCAACATATTTTTTAAGTTTCATCCTAACTAATTTTGTTTGAGTCATGCACCACCTCACACTAGGAGACATATTCATTTACATTTGGTGATCGGTACTTGAGTACTGCCTTAAGTTGGTTGATACTGATACTGTGTGTTTCTTTACATTGTAATCAATTCAATGTTAAGGCTCTGATCCACATTAATGTATTTCTCCTTCATTGCCTAATATAGCTTGTTTTTTTTTTGGGTTGTGATCTTAAAAGAGGAAAACTTAATTCTGGGATGTTGACATACTTCCTCTGTGTTCTAACTTGCAGAGCTTTTATAGTTAATCTGGGTGACATGCTGGAACGCTGGAGCAACTGTGTTTTCAAGTAAGTAGAATTATCGGTGACAACTATGTCTGGAGTTGCATTCTCATTGCTACGGGAACATAATAGACCAATTCTTAGTTAGTTTCTAAGAAGCCTATCAAGACATTTGGCTCCCCAGAATTTTGTTTTATGCACCGTCTATGAATTTCTACATATAGATGTGATTGTTTTCTTACCAGGCGTGTCTATTGAATTACAGATCTAACTCATTTTTCAAATGATGGCTTTTTGTGTACTCTGGTAACTTTGCTACAGTATTTTGCTTTGAACTTAATATTTAGCTGATATGTTTTTCTGCGTTTATGCTTAGGTCCACATTGCACCGAGTTTTAGGAAATGGTCAAGAAAGATACTCTGTGAGATCCCCTTCTTCCTATCTTTCAAAAAATTTTAGATGAAATACTACTGCAAATTTAATGTTAAAAATATCTATATTTTTCATATTTTAGGTACTTGTCTTCTGTGTTTATTTCTCCAGTTGTCATCCTTCTGGCATATGGATTCTCATTGCTGATTGTGCTTCTTGCTCCTTTATCTTCACAAATGAAGCTATTTACATGTCTATTTCAATTTTCCACTGATCAATTTTGCACTTTCATATTTAGCGATAATTGTTGTTTTCTTTGTTGTGAGTTTCATAAATAATCCTGGATCTATGAAATTGATACATTATTTATTTAAAATGAGCCAATTTAAGTTCCAAAAAAGTCAATTGGAAGGAAGTTTTCAATTAAAGTTTGTAAGCTGTTTTACTTGCCTGATGGCTGAGTCTAGGCCTGTCAATTTTGTGAGCTGACAATTTTAGGGTATTTTCTCTGTGTGGATATATTGTTCTTTGTGGGCTTCATCTTTTGCTTATTGGTGAAGTTGATCAACACTTTCAGAAAGTTTCTCGTTGCTGCTATATCTCAACTTAACATCATTTATTAAGATAGATAATTTTCCTCATTTTATCTCATTCCTTTCTTTTGGGGACAGATCGCGTACTTTGTGGAGCCTAGTCATGATTGTCTTGTTGAGTGCTTGCCGACATGCAAATCAGAAAACAATCCTCCCAAGTATGTTTGTCTTCTCATGACATTTTTGGTACTATTTCCCTTGTCTGTTTCTTGTATGTGGGAATTTGAGCATGGATTAAATTCTGCTCTATAACTAAATCCTCACGTAATCTCATTCGTCTTTCCAACTTTTACTGAATAATCTCATATCCAAAAGTTTTCCTTTAGGTTTTCCCCAATCAAATGTGCAACATACCTCAGCCAACGGTACAAGGACACCCATACCGACCTGAGCGTATACAACCAAAATAATTGAAGTTGCAGCCATACATGCAGATCATATGATATCAATTTTAGCATACTGAAGCCTAGAGGTCCTGTTACAGGGTCTGCAACTCTGTTTCGTCCACAATAAATTAATATTGTCCATGATTGCCTTTTCTTTTATGTAGTTGGCAAATCATTCTTCTCCTCCAAGCTAATAAAGTTAATGCAAGAATCAGGTTGCCTCGGTGAGCAGAAATAAAACGGGGCGAGAGTATTTGGAGGCCAATATGTTACAATTAATTTGTGGTTGGATTTTGATGGGCTTGTATATGGGGAATATTTTTGGAGTCTTTACATACTATCCACATGTAGGTAGAAGGCACGTAGGCAGGAGGCATGGTGGAGAATGAATTGTTTTTTTGTTGATATATAAATAAAAATTGGTTGTACTAATTTGGATTTTCCATAATTTGTTTTTTATGGAGTAGAACGAAAGGACTTTCCATTTCAAGTAGAGAGAGAAGTTTCTTGTCATATGGGCTACAGCCTGTAACTTCTCTTGTGATTGTCGCTTTTGTATGTAACTTTGGATGAGTCTTCCTTTTTCTCCCTGTTTTGGTTGAAAAAATGAGGAAAATTAGTAATTTAGTTTTTGACATTTGAGATTTATTAGAATTAATTTTTAATATTTTTTTAATTATAATTTAGTCTTTAATATTTTTTATTTATTTCAAATGTTTAGTTTTCTTTAATTTTCTAAAAAATAAAAATAAAACAATTAAATCATATTTGAATACTTTTAAAAACAACTCAAAAAGATGAATTTAATTAATTAATTCAATTAATAGATTAGTAAATTGATAACAATATTAGTCTCTTTTTATTATTTTTGATTAATTAATTCAATTAATTATTTGAAGTTAATTTTTTAAATTCTTTTTTTAAAAACATTCAAAATTTATTCTAACCAACTTAGTTTTTTGCATTAGTAATTAAAGAAAATTAGATTTTTAAAATAAATAAAAAATATTAAAGATCAGATTGTAACAAAATAATATTAGATAATTGTAACAAATGATAACATAAAAAATCAATTTAGTAATTTACTCAGAATATAAATAAACACAAAAAAATATTCTCATTTCAAGATAAGGCAATAATTTCTTCTCTGCAGTGATATTTGCAGTTGTCTTTATATTCTATTTCCTCTTCATTCTCTTAAAAAAAATGAAAAATGAATCTTCACTCGTAACTTGTTGAAGTTCAGAGTAGAAAAATAAACCTTCTATTGACAAATTATCCGTGTTCTAAAATTCAAAAAGTCGGGAAAGTAACAATCTTCTTTTCCTTCTCCTTTCTCTTGGTCTCAACTTTGTTTCCTTATCAAAACTTCTATAAAAGTAATTTGGGTTTGTTATTAGCAATCTCTAAATATCATGTCTTATTCTTTTTTATTATCTAAAAAATCAAATATCATATTCGTTTGTCTTTAGTGGTAAAGTTATGCTACTTTATTAATAAATTCATTCTCTTTACTAATAAAATTTTATACCATTTTACTTGATAGATAAAAGTTTGTCTCTCATTAGATATTATTACTATTAGCAAAGATTTGTAAATTAAAATATAGAGTTATCAAAGTTAGAGTATAATTTCAAATCCATTATTATTGGAGTTACACTCAGCATTCATTGATGATTAGTGATTTTAAATGTAAATTTCATATTGTATTATTTTAAACATATCAATACTAGTGTAAATTTCACACGTATTATGCTGTAAAAATTTTAGGTTCTCAACTTGCAAAATAAATAACAATCAATGGGTATCTAATGGCTTTCTAATAATAATCCCTCCATATTGAAGCCTGTAAATAAGAAAAAGAAATGTTAGATATAGAATCACCAGGATAGAATTATGTTAAAATATGATGCTATATAGATATAGCATACATGACTTAAAAGAGATAAATTATAAGATTTTCAGCAGAAATAAAAAGGAAAGCAAATGGTTCTAGAGGCTATTATTAGAGTTTACAACTCAGCGTTGAAGATAAATGAAATGAATTTGATGAACTTTGGTGGGACAATTGCAGAACGCATAAGGAGCATTTTCGAGAGAGAAGTTTAGCAGAAGAAATTTTGGAGTGAAAATGATTTTCTATATATTAATAAGAAATGTTGCAGTATTTAAATAGAGAATATAATTACAAAATTAACCCCCAACATTTATATTAATTATAAAACTATATATTATTCTAATAGTTCCCCTCAAGAGATTTTGTGAAACAATCTACCAACTGATAAGATGAAGAAACTGAAAGTATGTGTATCAGCCTATCAGAAATCTTTTAACGAATAATACAACAATAAATTTCGATGTGCTTCGTTCATTTATGAAAACTTGGATTCTTCACTATCTGAATAGTTGACAGATTATCATAGTATAAAGTTATTCTCAGATAAGAAATATGTAAGTCATGTAACAAATACTATAACCATTGAATTCATGTTACTGCTGCAAGTGCCCTATACTCGACTTCTAAAGATGACTGAGAGACAATTTGTTATTTTTTCGTCTTCCAAGAAATAAGATCATCACAAAAAAAATACAAAAACTAAGACCTACGAGAGTCAATGCAAGAAGCCCAAACAGAATCACTAAACGCCTTGATAAGCAAAGAGTTATGTGAAGGATAAAACAAGCCTTGATTGGGCGTACTCTTGGGTACCATAAGACTCTATGAGTACCTTACAAGTGTAATTATGTAGGTGCATGTGAGAACTGAGATAATTATTGCATAAAATAACATATCTGATCATATATTAATGAGATAAAGTAGCTTGCCAACAAGACGTTTGTAAGAAGTGTTGTCAACAGAAGGAGAACCATCATTACGAGATAACTTATGTTAAGGCACCATGGGTATCGATGCTAGTTTACAACCCAAGAATCCAATATCTCGCAACAAAGCCATTGTATACTTTCGTTGGAAAATGTTAATACCACTTCTAGACCTCGTGATTTCAAAGCCTAAAAAAAACTTTACATCTCCAAGATCATTTATTTTAAAAACATCATGTAGATAGGCTTTGACAATCAGAATCTCATCCATATTATTGCTAGCAATGATAAAATAATGAATATATAGAATAACTGTAATGAATGAGGATGCAGTAGACTTTAAGAAACAGTGAAGGATCTGAATGTGCCTATACAGAGCCTTTCTTTTTCAATGCATCAGTGAGCTTGAAATGCCATTGCCTGCTTGTTTCAAACCATAAAGACCTTTTTTTAATTTTCATACCTGATTCTCATGAGGAGAAGAAAAACCAGTCGGAAGTTTCATATAAACTTCCTTATGTAAATCACCATGCAGAAATGCATTATTAATTTCATGTGTAAAAACTAACCCTTGACATCATCAATTGCTAACAATGTCCGTATAGTAGTCAAATTAGCAATAGGAGCAAACGTATCCAAATAATCAATACCTGATTGCTGAGTGAACCTTTAGCAACTAGTCTGCCCTTATACCTTTCAATAGAACCATTCGCCTTTCATTTATCTTCTATACCCATTTATACCCAATTGAATTCTTATTGGGAGGTAAAGTGGTTAATCCCCAAGTTTGGTTCTCATCTAGTGCACTAATTTCATCAAGCATTGCTTCTTGCCTACATGGGAACTTAATGGTTTGGTTATAGGTTTTAGGCTCTTGGTCTTGAGAAATGGCAAGGATAAAAAGCTTATATGACTTGATGTGTTAGATTTTTATTATATTTTTATACATTTTTCACTTAAATTTGAAAGACCTTTTGAATGAATTTTTAGTTAAAAATCAATTTATGAATTAAATTCTTGTTGCCAATTGTATGTTGAAGAAAAGAGAAAAAAAAAAAAGCTCAAAATAGGAGAAGAAAGGAGGAAGAAGACTAGGTCTAGAACCATAGCAGCAACCCAACCAAAAACACTCAAAACGACGTTGTTTTGAGGTTGGGAACTAGACGCTCAAAACAACATCGGATTAGCAGGATGAAAAAAAATTATAGAAATGGAAAGAAGAGGCTGAAAAAGGAAAGCTGGAGACATGCCAAAGGAAAAGACCCAACTTTCGTCGCTTACAAAAAGGAAGAAGAGCAGAGACAGAAAGGGAAGAGACAAAGAGACAGAGTGGGAGCTTCCTTAGAGATCTATAGAGAGATAGAGAGATGGGAGTTAGAGAGAGAAAGCATAACTCAAAGCAAACAGTTAGCGACGAAAACCAGAAACTTATAGAAGAGAGAGTAGAGCTGGGTGACAGATTGGTGGAGAACCCGAGCACGAGTAGAAGGCAGACGAGCTGATTGGAGAGCGAAAAGACGAGCAAAGCAGAGAGTTTGAAAGGGAGAGAAACTGATAAGTAATATATATATATATATATATGTATATATATATATATTTCCATATATTTTTTGGGATAAAAGTTTTAAGAATTTTTGGATCTTGAATGCTAATATTTGAAATTTTTTATAAATTTATTCTTAATTATTATATGAT